TGTCCATCCTGAGGGTGGCAGAATTCTCTGCTGCTGAGAAGCCCAGAGTGGCTCTGACCAGACACAAAAAGATACTGAATGGAGGTACAGTTGTCTTCCACGGGAGCTGAGCGAGCGCACCACATCCTGGCTGAATCTCAGTGCTTTGCATCACTATGCATGTATTTTTTTTAATGTAAAAGCGTTCCATTACGGTTGTTTCAGAAAGAAATTTTGACACAATAAAATAAATGGCTGGCTCCGCTGTACTTCATCAGAGAGCAGGGGGGTTTTTCAGTCAATGCGTGCATAACTCATTTTCAAAAGCTCTCATGATCATTATTCATTGCAGCTTGTAAGAAAACATTGCTGTGAACCCAAAAGTGAAGACTTTGCTTAAGATTATTTATGACACTAAATGTATTCACAGCATTATGATATCCTTTGCTTAGAGCATTTTGTGGTAATGTTATTTATCTGCATTGGGAATAAGCATAAAATTAAGGACCACTCTTTCATGTTTGAAAATTAATTAGTGCTGAGGACTTTTAATCAAGCCTTTTGTACTGTTAAAGGCCTGATATGCAGAGGGGAGGTATTTTTCCTAATTATACATTAAATCTGAAGTACAGAGGAGAATAAAATTCTTATTTTGTTCCTCGTGCCTAGGGTTTACATCAAGCGTACAGGAATCTCATGCTTGCCCATCTCTCCTGTCTATGCACTACCTGCAGCTGAGCACCATGCCACCAGGCTCCATCTCCATGGTCTCACCTGCATGGCTGCATCTTGGTTCTCTCTTGTTCTGGCTCCTATGCTGTCAGACCCTTCTCAGGGACACTTTGTCATGATACACTGATAGAAATTACTGGCTGCCTTTTGTGTGGCTCCAGTGAGTTATATCTAAACATGGTATATTTGGGGAGAAAGTGAACTGACTCAAATGGACTTCCTTCTGTGTTTGTCAGCCCATGTGACTACTTTAGAGCAAGTCAGCCAAACTCAGGAAGGCAAGGGAACAGAGTGTCATGTGTACCACTGCTGCTCAGTAAAGGCTTAAAACTCAGATGGAGATATGCAGTGTTGAGCCTTTGATAAAAGTTCAGCAGTCTTAGGAATTTTGTGTCTCTGGATGAAAGCTTCTTTTCTTGCTGTGTAACTAATGATCTGTTTGAAACTCCTGCAGGTAAGTATACTGTGTCATTTGAATAAACACAGTTTCTTTGGCTTTCATAATGTTTTCTTTTTGTATGTTTTGCTGAATTACTGTGGCTAGTTGCAAAATTTTTTGTTTCCATAATTTTCCTCTGGGTTAGGTCATGCTTAGTTTAGTGCATACGTCGAACATTTTCTTGCCCATTCTCCATACTGAGATATGTGTTACCTCCAAATAGGTAAAGTAATAAGCAGTTATTTTTAGGCTGTGGGACCTGCACCTGGTGATGGTTCAGGGTTGTGTCACAACCTGTTGTGTTTGAATTCAAAAATTTATTATGTGATTTTTGGTGACAGAACGGGTTCACAATGTACAAAACCGGCCTGTATGTTTACCACATGGAAGATAGGTTAGGTCTTCTCTGCCTTGTACGTTCCTCCAAAACATATTTGGCTACTGAGAATCTCTGTGGACTATGTCCCTCAGAAATACCCAAGGAAAACAGTAATTTCCAACAAGCTGAAAGGTGGAGAGATTTGAAGTATTTATCCACTGCAGACTGAGTAATGATGGTGACAGGGCTGCAGAATGCAGTATGGGAACACTAGGCCATGAAAGCAGTGTGGGTGAAGGATGCACATGCCTATGTCAGTAAGTTGCTTACCTCAGCACTAACAGTGCTACTCAGTTTGATTAATAAGACTCCTGACAGAAAATCCACTAGTCAGTGATAGTCAGTGGAAGGCCTCTGTTGATCTTCATGGGACCCGACTGGTGTCTTAACTGTTTCAAGGTTACACTCTGCAGGGCCTTCTCCAAGCTTTTCTTCTGCTCTCCTATATTTCCTTTGAGATTGCTTCCTAACAAGGGATTACTTTCATAAGACCTTTTGTCTGGCCTCTTACATCACGTTTTATTAGCATTTTGCCCATGATAATCAACTTTAAAAACAATTCCAGTGAGTGAAAAGTTATGTTTACATTGAAAAAGAAGTGTGAGGAACTTCTTGGTTCTGAGGATAAAGTCTGTAAGACACCCACAACCAATGATGCTCCATGATAGGCAGATACATAGATGTGATGTTTTGTCAAATGGCAGATGGGTATTTAGTGTTTTTTCCTTTTTCCTCAGGAATCTCTGGGGTGGGTGCTAACACTTATAAATCCATCAGTCTCATATAATGAAATGAAAGAATAACAGACTTGGCCCAAAACAAGTATAAATAAATCTGAGTAGAAGGCAAGGTCATACTATGTTTGATTTACATCACACTAATGAGATACCATTGGCTGAGGAGTGGCTCTTACTGATTTTGTTTTATCAGAGAATTACTTTGGAAAATTACCAGGGCTAATTTGCTAACTGCCACATACAATTTCAGGCACCAGATTTGATCTCATTTAGCACAATTGTTGTCATCCTGATTTTTGTCTTACAGCTAGAATTTCTGTAGACATATTACACAAGCGCTGTTAGTTGCATATCCTTTTCAGCTCACTGACTGTAGGTGCTCTTCTCCAACCCGCAGCGGCTTAATCATAGCCTGAGCCTGTTTATTGTCTACTAACTTACCTCTTCATATGAAGTGTTAGACAGGAACACTTTTGCTAAGGAGGCAAGTCGTGCTTCAATTCTGGCCAAGAAAATGAAGACTGCAGTAGGTCAGATGTGTGAGACATGACGACCAGGGACTCCTCAGTTTACATGTGCTCTAAGTTTTTCAACAAACTTTCAGTGTACGGAAGACCAGGAAAATTAATTTGGCACTAGTGGAAAACAAGACCTTAATAAAAGGAGCTAAAGATCTTGTGATGTAATGCTGGAATACAGCTGACACTTTAAATGGAAGCTACAGACCTGAGAAGCTCCTGTTCTTCCTGTGCTTATAAGGCAATGCTTTGTCTTTCTAAATTTATCTGATACTGCTTTCAGAAAAAAGTCTCACAACAAAATTGCAAAAAAAAAAAATCCATGCCTGTATTATTTGCACAAAAAAAGGGCCTGTAGTGCAAAAGGGCTAGCAAATGTAGAGTTCTAATTTCATTCTGACACTCACAAGAATTTAAAATCATGTATAATTTCAAACAACGTAGTATTTAAACTTGATTTTAGAGTTGTGGTCCGGATCTTCTGCTGCAGTATGCAGGCAGTGGAACTATGCTTAATCGTGCCATACAAGGGCCAGATGGAGGCATTTTAATGTTGCTATGGGTTGATCCTTCTTTTATTTATGATCCTTGTAATTTTTTAATATTCCTGTTGAATAAGTATTGGTTTGTGAGTATTTTTGTTAATAGATTTGATCTGCTTAAGGACTGTCTCTTTCCTTTTCAGTTGAGTGTATATTAACCATTTCAAAATATTATTGTTATTTTGGTTATGGTAAGTGGGAGCTGGGGGGGGGGGGGGGGGGTAGTTAAAAATATGCTGAAATTTTCTGATGCATAACTCATTTTGCCAGTGTCCAGAAACCCTTTTGATTCCATTCCTGCACACCAAAAGAATTATAACCTGTGTTAACAAAATGTTTCATGTACGAACCAAAGCATATATAAACTCAAGGGAATGTATGGACAGGTAGTGCTACTCATTTTCACTCACATTCCAGCTCCTGTTGGTTTATTCATGTGTTGTATATGGTGTGTGTCCAAAGTGTGAACCCTCCAAGAGGGTAACTGGATTGCTTTTGTATTTCTGATTGTGACTAATACTCCGAGGCTCTGATTGACAGTTACAATCCCCAAGAATTATCTTACAACACAGCTGAATGATTTCCATATTCTTGGGGTATTTAGCTTAATTTGTGGCATAACTACTGTCAGCCTCTTTAGAATGGGAGTACTGGAATATGTGTCACATATTGTGCCTCACTGGGGTGCAGAGGTGGCTGAGCTACTCATCGTGGGAAACAAACACAAGTAACCCTAACTGCTAATGATTATTAAAGAGTTCACATCCAGTCATTTTTATCAAAAATATGAGTAGCTATTGATTTTCCTACTGTCTATTGTCATACTGCACTGATTTTATTTCTTTTCATGTATTTACAAACTCTGTCTTTAAAATATTACTGTACATCTTTGAGTTGTTAGTACTAAAGCTGCAGATACAATCGTTACGCTTTCATCAGGGATAACGTCTATACTGTCTCTGATAGAAGCTGAAATTCAACTGAATAACATAGAAAATGTATTTAACTTGGAGCTTTGGTTCTGAGGCCATAAGCTAGCCTGAGATGTGGGCAGGGGTCTATGGTGCAGTCTTACTGCCCGGTTTGCAGCCGCTGTGGTCGTCCAGTGTTAATCTTTCCAGGGCTGCTCTCTTTCAAGAAAACAAGTCAGGTGGTAGCCTCCCGCTTGCTGTGCTCCCAGCAGCGCAGGGCATGAGGAAGATCACTCCACCCTCACTATTAACAAAAGGAAAACTTCATTTTTACAGTGCTAAAAGTCAGGGAGGGTTCCAAGAAAATGCTTCATTCCCCACTCCCCGCCAGAGTATGGATGATCTAAGGGATATTTCAGCACTGCTGTTGGCTGCTGCAGAAGGAGGAAACCTGCAGCTTCTGTAGCTGGGTTTTCTTACAGATAAAGACACAGCTTCGTCAGGAGAGAGGCAGGAGGCTACTGGCAGAGAGGGGCAGAAGTTTCTCCAAGATTTTCTCGCTCGTTCCCACATTCACTGCACAGCACTAAACTTTCCTCTGACCCAAACTTTTTTCCTGGACTATTACTGCAAAGCAGAAGCGTGGAGAGTTTGTTCACATTCTGTTGAAGACAACAAATTTCTCCTTTTAATCCTAAATATTATTCACAGATTAGAAACTCCAGTATCACAAAATATTATTTTTGCTAGTGAGAGAGGAAAAATGGATGCATTCAGACCACTTGAAAATGAGTCACTGTTGTCCAGTTCCTCTGGTCCTGCCAGATGGGATCCTTTCCGTCGCCCCTTGGACTCCATCCAGCCCTGGCACTTCAGGCTTCTGGCAGCAGTGATGTTGGTGGTGACCTCCCTGTCGCTTGCTGAGAACCTGGCTGTAATCCTGGTAACTTTTAAGTTCAAGCAATTGAGACAACCTGTCAATTATGTTATAGTCAATTTGTCTGTGGCTGATTTCCTGGTCTCACTGACTGGTGGCACCATCAGCTTTTTAACAAATCTAAAAGGTTATTTTTATATGGGATACTGGGCTTGTGTACTGGAAGGATTTGCTGTCACATTTTTTGGTAAGCTTCATTTTGTTTGTAGTTGTATGTTCTTTTCCTTCAACTTCCTTCAGTGTGTTCTACTAGCTATCCTGCAGCTTCCCAAATCACTGACTTTGCATGCCTTTGGACTCGCTGGTTCTTTCCCCAGTTACATATATTCTGTAGTGGCTCTCATGTGTGAGTGAAAAACATATATCACCATCTCTGTCATATATCAGTAGCTTGTCACATGTATACTGATCGAGTATGTTTAATATGATGAGAAAAAGCTTGCTAATAGAATAACAGCACTGTGGGGTTTTTGGTAAAACAATGTCAGGAAACAATCGCTACGTGTAACTATTTTCCAGGCTTGTACTTAGGTATGTGCATATACAGATAAATGACAGAGAGAAAAAGAGTGTCTGCTCTTAAACTGTGGAAAGTATCAGGGCATGGAAATGTCTTATGTTAGCTCCCCTGCATTTGTTCTGAGAAGCCATGACACACCTGTAACAGCCACTCCACACACCTACATCTTTTTGTGATTCTTTTTCTTGGCTTTGTTTTAGTAACTACACAAAAAGTATTAGAACTACTCTAAAAGTTAAAATCCTCACCACATACTTCCCTGTGTAAATACACCCCTACAGAATAAATGGCAAATTAATTTAAAATGGGACATCTTCTTACTTGAGACAGGCATTCATTCCTGCCTCCCTGTTCCTGTTTCTGAAGCTGCATAGTAAAGACAGCCTTTTAATGCTTGCCACTGCTCTAAATCAAACACATGGCTCATGTGTGATCCTCAGCCTGAAAAGGAATCCCACAATTGCTCTCAGCCTGGTTAAGCTACACAGAGTGATTGTCAGTGAGGGACAATGCTACCAAGCTATGTCCCATGGAGAAAGATCAGGCTGTTTCAAGATTTTGGTGGCCAACCAGATGATATGTGCCTAATATCATGATGTTGTGGGCAGCTGTCTGTAGGTTAGAGTTTTATGACAGTCTGAAATATGACATTTCTTGTGAAGATGACGTTTTGAAGATATACCTTAATTTGTCATTTCAGAAACTGCACAAAATTTGCAGCTTTTCAGAGTAGAACCAAATGAAAAAAAATCATTGTCAGTTAACCATTTAATTAGCTGATTGGTTTTGCAGTCATACTGTAGACTGACAAACTAAAATATGAAAATCTTGTGCTTTTAATAAATATTAGAATAATGACCATAAATTACACATCCTTCATAATGTGGGTTGATGGAAAAGGTGCCTGATGTGGTGGCTGGTCAAACAGTGGAGTAGGTTGCCCAGAGTGGTTGTAGAGTCTCCATCTGTGGAGATATTCAAAACCCAACAGGACTTGGTCCTGGACAACCTGCTGCATGAACCCGTGCTTGAGTGCGTGGGGGGTGTTGAAGTAGATGACCTCCAGAGACGCCTCTCAACCTAAACAATTCTGTGATTCTGTGATGTGGGATTGTGTTTGCTCTTCAGTGACTTTACCCAGTTTTTGATGCTGACTGTGTTTTTTTACTGTAGGCATTGTTGCTCTCTGGTCTCTTGCTCTGTTGGCTTTTGAGCGGTACGTTGTGATCTGCCGCCCATTGGGAAATAGGCGCTTGAGGGAGAAGCATGCAGCCCTAGGTATTGCCTTTGTGTGGACCTTTTCCTTCATTTGGACCATTCCACCAACAATTGGTTGGAGCAGTTACACCACCAGTAAGATTGGAACTACTTGTGAGCCTAACTGGTAAGGCTACTCTTGCAGGGCAGTAAAGAAATGGAAACTTGCAGCTCAGGATATCTCAGAGGCAGGAATTTAAAGGAAAGGGTTAAAGACGATGTACATCTCTGCAAAAATGGATGTAAAGAAAGTTGTAACAAAACTGAGCAAAATTTGCCAAGAACAGATTATAAAAAAAAATTTCTAAAGGGACCAGATTCCATCTATAACAAAAATAACTGACTTATACTTTGTGCTTTTTGTCAGGATTCAGAAAGGACAAAGAGACAGTTTTTTCAGAAGACTAGACAAAGCCCTAGGCAACCTGGTCTTACCCCATAGCTGACTCCACGTTGAGCAGGATTTTGGACTACATGTCCCTTCCCACCTGAACTGTCCTGAAGTTCTATGACACTGTGCCTATGGTCACAAGATCCTGTCCTAGCCCACAGTCAGGGAGATGGCCCAGGGCTCCATCTGGTGACATGACTAGAGTGGTAAAGGGGCACTTCGAATAAAAACAGTTGACAAAAATAGCAGTGACAGCTTTGAAGAGCAAAATTAATACTCAAGAAAATAGTAAGACGACATATGTATTTTGTGTTTTATACAGGTACTCAGGAGCTTATATTGACCATACATACATTATTGCACTCTTCACCACCTGTTTTATAGTGCCTTTATTGGTAATTTTGGTATCCTACGGAAAACTGATGCAGAAGCTAAGAAAGGTAAGAAGAAGCACTTACAAGTAAACCTTTTGAATGTGTATGCATGCAAACACTTGGAATTTTTTTTGTGTTCGATTTTCTATAAAGATCAGGCATAAGCAGATTGAATTTCCAGGCAGAAAATGCACTCAGTTTCCTTGCCCTGTTAGATAATTATCCTACGCACAGGAATTCAGACTATGGTTAGAAATTGTTTTTCAAAGCGTGCAGTTTGCATCATTTATCAGTGCACTCACTAGCCAAACATCATGCAAACGAAAGAATCTCTGCCTCATAGATAGAGAAACTGAATGACCTAGTATAAATTTATTTACAGTTGTACTTCAGTGATGTTTCTTAAGACTTGAACCAGGTAAATCAGAATTTAGCTTAAAATGACTGCATTTGTAAATTTTAAGAGTACTGGCTAATACTCTATAACACTTACATGCAGAATGAGATGTAGCATTTGTAAACAACGTATTGCTGTTCAGTAAATAAAATATTAGATTGTCCAGGAACAATTAAAAGACTTGAGAAATGTTTTTGAGTTTTATGTAATGGTTATGTTGACCTGATCCAAAAGAGAATCTGCAAAAAAGTGAAAAAGAAGAAAATAGAACAGGAAAACTCTGTTTGGGACAGGATTTTGGGAAAAAATTTTGGGACAATATTGTTATTTCTATTTACTGCAAAGCTGCCTTGTCTTATTGCTTCAGTAATACATTCAGTAAATTTCTTCAATTTACTGATGTTTTTAAAGTATTTGGGGTAGTCAAATGCTTGTGTTTATTCTGAGAGTTGTGTTCTCTAAGTAAAGGAAAACAGAAGGAAAATGCAAAAAATATTGTATTTCCTCATTAGAAAAAACAGATTGGAACATGCGTACTTCAGGTGACATCGTGATTCCTCTAAACAGATTTTTCTTGATTTTTCTCCAGGATGTGTTTAGGGGAGAGAAGGTTAAGTGGCTGGGAGAGGTAGATTTCAGTATTAAACAAGAATTTTCCCAAGCTGAATGTGAACTGCAGCACAGGCGCACTGCTGCTCCCCGCACTCATGGTGAGGTAGCACAGTGGCTGGCTGTCACTGCAGAGGTGGGGAACATGAATCAGAAGATATGGAAATGCTTGAAGGAAGTACTTGTTGATCACTCAGACTCCCCTAAGATAACTTGTGAAACTATGATTTTGTTACTCTGAATATCCGGAACTTTTACTAGTATTTTATTTTTCCCTGTCGTAACCTGCCTGTAGAAGAAATGGAACGAAGGGAGCGAGCAGGAGGCCAGACCTCCCCGCTGCTGATGCAGCCCCCTCACTGCTGCCCAGGAGGACAATGCTCTCCTTAGGGAAGGAGCTCTGCCCCTCAGCTTGGGAGGGGGCGGACGGCCACCCCAGATCAGCTACCTCATGGGGCTCCTGCTCCTGCCAGGGGCACCCCTGCCTGCGGTGTGCGCAGTGGGTGCAGATGTCCCTCCCCGTGGACTGGAGGTCACTGCATGGGCCTGCATTGCAGGGGTGGAAAAGGGTCACCTCCAGGAGGCTGCCCTGGGAGGGAGAGGCCATGCGGTGGCCTGGTATGAAAGGGAGGGACATTAACCCAACACAGGGGCTGTGAAGGAAACGAGACCCCTTGCCAAGCATCCAGCACTGTGATGGGTTTGCCAGAGCAGTGGCTAAGGTGCTGCTCAGATGCTTCAGGTGTTGCCCAAAAAGGGCCACTTCCTTCCCCTGGGACAGCCACTTAAGAGGCTGCAAGTTAAAAACAAAGCAGGTGAGATGAGGAGCAAGGGAGGCAATGAAGGAAAATGTCACCATCAGTCACAGCAGAAGCCAGTGAATGGCCCATCTTGCCATTCCGGTCAGGTCAGGATGCCTTCTGGAAGACTGATCCGCGCCATGTAATGGGTCCTAGCGATGGCCTGGAGCCACTGTGGTGTGTTCTTGCTAGGCTGTCTGTCTCCTTTGTGCATTATCCAGAAAGAACAGCAGTAATTAAAAAAAAAAAAAATCGCTGTTCTCTGTAAGTTATGTGTTTCACACTCCCCTGGCAGCTCAGTGACCTGCCAGACTGCACAGCCAGGCAATGCTGGGTAACCTCAGGGCACCTCGTCACAAGTGATTTAGCCTCAGCAGCCTGGCTTGTGCCAGTCCTTGCCTTTCACTTTTGTTGGCTTTTACAGAGAGATGTAACTCTCTGAGTTGGCCTCTGTTACTTAAAACAGCTTAAAGCACAGTCTGGTGTAGAAAAGCTAACTGCCTGCAATGTATTCTGTAACTGCAATGAATTGTCACAAGGCTATATCTCACAACTAAGCTAACTTTTAAAAATCTGGCTGCGGTGAACAGAGACACCCAGGCCCTAGAGCTGGGGTCTGATGTTCCCAACAGACTCTCCTCCCTGATTTTGACTGCCCTGTCCCATGCTTGCCACAGTGCAGACTTGGTCCTGAGTGGCATTGTTTTGTCTTAGTAAAGTCTGCTAGTCTTTCAGTCCCTGTGAAACCAGCTTTTACAACGCCAATAGTAGCTTTCACTGCAACTGCAAAACTAATGAAAGAAATAAATCTTTAGGAGAAGATCTAAACAGCAGTTCACAATGGAGTTAAATTATGGCAATATTCCTTTGTTTATAAGATAAAGCACCACATGATTCCTTATCAGTTTCATTTTCTCAGATTGAGAGGGAATCTACTGCCATTCATAAAAAGCCATAGCTGAGAAAAAGGCCAGGCTGATATGAGAGAAAGACAAAACAGTCAAAAGCACAATCCAGGACATTGTGTTCCTTCCCCAAGGTGACTGCACTTCTTCTGAAGGGGAGGCTGGGCTGCTCTCTATGTAGGTACAGTGTATATAAAAAAATGCTACAGAAATGTCATATATTGGCAGGGAATATCTTAATTTCGTTCAGCACCTAACACAGCCTTCCTTGACGCCTAAGGACTTGTAGGTATTATGACAATTCATTATTATTGTTGTTGCTGTTGTATTTATTGTTTGTTAAAAAAATGACATGAATTACAACTTTCTACAGAGGTAAGGTCACACAGACACACACCCCCCCTTCCCAGGAAGTGCTTCAATACCTCTGTAAGTACTAAATATGTAAAATTATCTGAGTACAATGCAAGAGTTATTAGGGAAAACGTCTCCATTCAGTTCTAACGTTACCATGGAAAAAAAAAGGCCATATTACACCAAAAATTCTTACTTTATTAGTACGTATTATTGCAAGACCTGGCATTAAGTTTTTCTAGAGATATACGGAGTTATCATTAGTTACTTCCCATGTAAGCCAGCATTATGTAACAGTGCCTTGTTTCACTAAGTCATCAGAAACAAAACAAGGATGTTTCCCAGAAAGACATTGTTTGACATCACATAGTCACCATAAATTCTCTAAACTG